GAAATAGAAATGCTAGTGGGTTTTGTTGTTTGTTTTTATATTTGGGGACTTAAACATTGCATTCCTATCTCATTTTTCCTCCATGCATTCAATGGACAAAAAGTAATATAATGGTAGTCATGTTTGATTCACCAATGAGCAAATGGCATTTAACTACTGTTTGCCAAATGAAAAAAAAGAAAAAAAAAGGAGTGGGAAAACCAAAAAAAGCCTCAAGAGAGAAGCACACACATTAAAGGAGGTGGGGTGGTTCACCAGAACGGTCTCTTTAATCAGTGTAACAAAGACTGATTTTTTCATTCACATCAACAATTTAATTTGACTCATTTTAAGGAAATAGCATGTTGACTTTACATTAACTTTTAAAGCAGTATTTAGAGATAATCCTAGTTTTGATATCATAAAAAATTATGCTTCCATTTTTAAAAAATCCTGATCAGAAAACTATGTAGCAAAAAGAATATATTTGGATTGAATGAGATTTTGCTCAAATGCATCATCTTTTAGAGAAAACAAAGAAGGAAAAAAACCCCAACAAACCATAAACTCATTTCCTTAGTACATTTTACTGTATCACTCAACTTTAATTGACAGACTGTGATAATTTTGAGGAAAAAAAATGCAAAAACAAAAATGATTGGTGCAGCTCTCTTGGAATTACACTAGTCCATGCTGATAAAGCATTGTTCAAAGGGCTACAAAATAAATAGTGTTAACTCACAAGTTAGAGGTCTGTGTCCCCGGCAGGAAGGGAGACATTTTATCTGGATTTCATGACAGCTTGCACCCTCCCTACTTCTTTTAATCTTTGACAACATAGACAAAAGGACAGAAAAATGGAAATGAGAGAATGCATGTTAGGCCACTTTGAGACAAAATAAAAGAACGCTAAAAAAAAGGGGATGTTTTCCTACACAAATCTCTCTACCTCTTGGTTTTCTTTCAAGACTGGAGGAAGCTAAATAGACTGAATGGGAAAAAAAAAAAAACATGCTCAATAGAAAAATGGTATTCAAGTAATAATTGAATGTCTAAAATCTGCTGCAATGTCAGAACTAAGAAGTATTTGAGAGATCTATTAGGGCAGTGATTCTCAAATTTGGGGTGCTTGTCAAAGTACATATTCTTAAACTCCACCCCTACAGATTTATTTATTCAGTATAAATTTATTGATGCCCACTATCTTCTAGGCTCTGGGGTTATAGTGATACCTTAGTCAAAACCATTGCCCTTGTTAAATAAATGATAAAACAAGTGGTTCACATATCATGCTTTGAGTAATATTCTTTCCCAACAATTTTGCTTTGGGAACTATCCTTATTTTGGTATTAATTTTTCATAGCCTCCTTTACCTGGGTAGTCAAATGAAATATGTATAGTAAAATAAAACATAAGAGTTTATTTCCTGGAATGAATAAGTAAAACAGGTCAATTGCTCCCATTGTTGTCAAAATAACTGGGTTACTTCCAGCTGCTATGTCACTTTGGGCAAATTATTAATCTAAGACTCAATGTCACCATTTGTAAAATACTAATTAAAAAGAGTATGTACCATTTGGGGGTTGATAAAAAGATTAAGTGAGCTAACATCCATCAAGAGAATATCAATTTTTATTGTATATCAAGTACTGTGATTGTAAAGCCCCCAAAGGTGGATCTCTCTTAGTCAAGAAGAACCATGGAACATCTGAGGTGGGAGATTTAGAGATCACAGTTGTGTTACTATGGTATTTAAACAGTGCTCTGGAGAGCCAGATTTAAATTGCTGGAAGAACTCCTTTATTGTTTTTAGTTATTTTGCTAAAATGAATTCATGTGCAATTTCAGTAGAAAAAAGTGACTGTTAAGAAAAGCTTGGAAACCACTGGCAATCCCAATGCCTCATTCTAAAGCTGAGAAATTAAAAAGGGCTGTGATTTTCTAAGGTCATATAACAGAGTTAGTGGTAGAGCTGATATAGTTACCAGGCTTCTTTGAAATGAATGTTTGGAAATGGAAATATGAGTAATTGTGGCCTCAAACACTTTGCAGATTGACACTGAGTAAAAATTCATAAAAACAAAACAATTGTAATTTGACTTTCTGGAGGGGATGGTTCCTCTGTATTCACTTGAAACCATTTTTACAGGTGAAATGCATTTCCAAATACTATACAGTGAATTTTCATTTTGACTGTAAGTGTAGAGAAGAATAGAGCTTTAAAAACAATTTAAAATTAAATTGTTTGGAACTATATGTTCCAATTATGATAAAATTCAGACTAATGCTTAACAGAAATTTATTTTTAAAAATAACGTGAAAAATATGAAATTTATTTAAAAAACACATTTTCCATGTTGCAAAATAAAGCATTCATATTTTCTATCTTGTTAGAGCAGAATCTTTTTAATCATAACACTTAGGAAATGGTGTCCTGGCTAATGAGAAATCTTTTTCTTTTAACGCTTGGTATTAAAAATCTGAACATGTACTAGCACATTTTGTTTTAGGAATTGATAATGAACCTGACCTAATGTTTCTTTTATAATTTCACTGTCTAGGATCATTTTTCCTAACACTAATTCTTATTGTATAGTACTATGGATACAAGAATAACAGGAGATTATAAACTACAAGGTTAAAAAAAAACCCACCAAAATCTAAATCCCTGATATGAATTTATTGTGTTGTTATTTGACCTATTTTCCAAAAGAAGAAGGGATTATATTCTCTACTAAGGTCCTTGTTATTCAATAATAATAATAATATTTCAAAATTAATTAATAATTTTGAAATCATTGACTTTTATTCTGTTTCATAAGACCAATTATGGAATCATAGGATATCTTCATAGTTTCAAATTTGGTATCTAGAGACATTTGAATAATGTTAGAGATTAATTTAATCTGTTTTAAATTACATTTTATAATATAAACAAAAGTATTCTATGAAAAGGAAAACCTTGTGTTTAATTACTAATTCCCTCTAGAATGGTTTAAAATAAAATATAATGAGCAAGACATGAGAACCAATAATATTTACATATTTTTAATATGCTTTGTGTTAATATTTAATATGTTTTCTCATGGATTAATATCTTAAAAACACATTTTTATATTCATATGCTGGATAATTCTCAATTTTCTGCTACTTACTCTCCATTGGTTCCAGTGTTTGAAATTTCCCCATGTTTTATGGGATTTAAAAGTTTTCATTTTCTATTTTTATTTAAAAATAAAACTGAATATCTTTAAAGTGACTAAGTAACTATATTAGTTACTTGTTCAAAAAACTTCAACATCAGACTGCTTGGGGAGCCAATCGAGAATTTGTTTGCACAGCAAGACTTCTTCTTAGGTAAAACAGATCATTTTGAACAGTCTCTTGGTAGCAAGCACTGATTGAGGAGTACAAATATTAATTTAAAAAATTCCACTATAAACAATTACCAGTCACAATTTCATTTTAAAAGTAAGCTTACAAAATTTAATTTGATTCTAAAATTTTAAGGGGCTAGAGTTCTTTGTCAAATATGAATGATGTAAATAAAATTTAGCAACTAATGATAAACATAACAACTTAATAATTATAGTTATTTAATAGTATAACCTAGAACAGGAATGAGTTTATGTTAAAATAGGTTCTATGACTTAAAGGAAGATTCATGTTTTCAGATTGTAATGGAGGAAGGTTTTGCTGGGACTCCTGAAGAAGAACTTCTCCATCCTGAATTCCCATATTGAGGCCAGACTGAATAATTACAGTTTTTATTATACCTTGCAACAATGAAATCATAACATACATTTTTGATAACTCTCTTTTTGATTCCCTAAGAACGGCAAAGATTTATAGTTACATACAATGAATCTTATCCAAAAGGAAATTTATTGCACAATAATGTGGTTAGAATTTCATTTATAAAGCTTATTTTTTCCTTCCCATATAATATAAATGATGATTAAAATTCTACTTCTGGATTTCAATAGGGGACTGAAATCTTTTTTTTTTGTTTTTTTAGAGTTAGTGTTTTGATTCCTGTGGGTAATGAGGAAGATGCTTGGTACAATTCTCCATGCTGGATGGGAGGGTCTCTGTCTAGAGATATTGTGCAAAAGTTGTTAACCAGTTCAATCATGGAAATTCTTGAAAGTTTAAAACCAAAATTTTGGTTTTAGTCTGATTATTCAGTAGTCCCCATATCTGGTAATCTGTGGAAGGGAGGGGAGTAGTTAAGATTTCAACATCTTCTTTATTCTTGTTTATAATTTCATATACTTAAACTTTAAATATGAATTGCTTTCCCTTTTTACACAAGTTATAAAAATAAGAGGCCCTGTTTACACAGTTTGCATTTTTATGAAATTTGCAGTTTGAAAAAAAAGCTTTTTAAAAAGTGGCAATTAATGCTTTTCTTTGAATATGCTGTAACTTTAGAATTTTTTTTTGTTTTCTGAAATAGTTTCTGAATTTAATCCACTAAACATTTGAAGATAGAATTTTTATTAAGCACTAGAGTAAAACATACTAAGGACTGAAGAAAAGGAAATTTTTTTCCTGGTTCTGCATAATTTTCTTTGTGCATGGCACCCCCTTTATGACAGCTAACAATATTATATTTAAATTTTATATATTGACAAAATGCAATCTACCTCTGTAAGCATTGTGCCATTCAACAGTACTACTATTAAATTTACATACCACAGTTTAAATTACATCCATTTCAGGAATGGTAAAATGCTAAAACTCAAGTATCTAACCGCCTTACTGGAATGAGTACAATTTACAAATACAATAATTACATTTTAAAACCATTAACAATATTACACCTAGAAGTAAATACTGTAGGACTTGTCATCATGGTATCATGTGAGGGAAATCATTGCTGAAAGTCACTGACATTTCCAGCAGATATATCCCAAGTGCAGATTTTTGGTTTGTTTTCATCAAACCAAAATTAAAACCTGTTTCTCATACAATAGTTCTCCATTATATGAATCTCCAAATCCTTGCATAAGATTTTATTAGTTATCTGCCAAGTATTTTCCTGAAAAATAAAACAACATATCAACAGGTTATCTGCTAGCTCCATAATATGGTTATTATGTGGGTAACATTTTATTCTTCCTGCCTTAAAGCTAAGTATTATATACTCAAGGAGTATAACACTAACATAAAACATATAAAGTGTTTAAAGTTTTCAGTTTTCTAGACCAACATGTTGCTTTTTCACATTTCCACATATGAACACTTTGCAGAGGTTTGGGTTTTGTCCAGAATAGGTTGGAAGATTTGTTCCTGGATGTGAGAATCCAACTTCTTATAGTAGGAGTAATCATATAATTACTTTTCAATGTGGGCCATTTTTGAGAGTGAAAGGGGGCTAATTGATAATTATATCAATACTGCAACCATAAAAATCTGGAAGTATCCCAGCAAATCCTTGACAAAAAAATCACCTTAATATTGGGGAATCCCTACCAATAAATTCTCATGAGACCCCCTAAAGGAGTCTCATGACCATATTTCCGCTCAAGGTAACTGGTTCTGATCTTTGGCCTAGACTTTTTTAAGTTGTTATTAAAATGAAAGATGGATACTCTTAGATCTCAGCTGAGCCTGAGTCTAAAATCTATAAAGATCTGCTGAAGAAAAAGGATTTTCAGGTAAGAGACCAAACAGCATTTATCTTGCTTGTCAGTCTAACAAAATGGCATTTATCTTGTTTGTCAATATAACATAGTAGAATTTATATCATTAACCTCAGTGTACACACATATATAATGGGAATGACAGGTCAGTCCCATGTAAGAACTGGCCAGAGCCATGATAAGTAGGCAGGGCCATCCTAATTTCTGATTTCCCCAGTTTATTGCCCTATTTTTACTTCACTCAACAATTGGTTTGCTTTCTGATTGCAATGGGAAATGGGGATTGGGAGTGGAGAAGAAGAGGAGGAAGATGATCAGAAAATCATAACATATTCCTTCTTAAGGAAGAATAGCTAAGGCAATATTGTTGTTTGCAAATGAGCACACAAGATACCCACTTACCTGCGGCAAACCGTTTCTTGATGAGTGAAAATCTGTACCCTGCTCCAACAAGTTCAATGTCACAGCCAGAAAGAGTGCTTCCTTCACTTGTAAACTGCACAACCAATGGCGAAGGTTTGCTTGGGCCTTCAGATAACTGAAATCTTGCCAATAAAGAACCTACCCCTACAAAAAGAGTATTATTGATAACAGTTTAAAAGGTAACATTCAACACAACATTCTGGATATAATTTTGGAAATTGTATTCAAGGTTAAAATGCAAAATCAATCTTACTAGAACATAGTATATGTATATTTCAGGGACAAAACAGTGGTGAATAATATTTATCATGAAATATTTTTCATGACTTTTAAAATACACCAATAAAAATGTAATTCAGCCAAACGGTACTTCAAAATTTGGAAGCATGATACTTGGAAGGCAAGGTATTTCCAGCTTATGATTAATATCCAAGGAAAGTAAAAAATATCTAAACTATCAGGGTGTGAGATCTGATACAGAATGAAAACATGTTCCATTAGAAGGTCTCTGCTTCATGTATGGTCTGTTTGATGTGGGGTGTTCGGTGGAAAAGAGGTAACAGAGGATTCATTGAAGAACTATTTTCTCTTATTGGTAAAAATAATAATACACAACAAAATTAACTAAAATACTTTGATTTCTTTTAGCGCTAAAGATACTTTGATTAATAGTTTTCTAATATCTGACAGTTATTTCAGCTTTATATATTAAATAAAATAAGCCTGTGATTACATTACCTCCATTTTCTGACTTCTGAGAAATATCAGGAATCTTCCACAATATTCTTTGTTGGTCAGCATTCCTAAAAATAAAATAGGTAAAAGACTTCTGCATATGTAAGGGTTTTTGTTTAATGGATGTCATATTTTTCCAAAGTGTTAATTAATAAAAATGATCTTAAAAATTTTAGCTACAATTTAAGCATTATCTATATATCCATCTATCATCCCTCCTCTTCCCCTCCCTCCTTCCATCTATCCATTTTTCCATCTACCCATCCTTTCATTCATCCATCCGTCTATCCACAAATCCTCTGCTTTTTCTTTCTTTACTGTCACAACACTGTCAGAGAGATAAACGTTTAGAGGGCAGTGTGGTTAAAAAAAATTTAACACATCTACTGAAAAAATAGAAGGGAAGTGTTAGTCGATCAATTAATTAAGGTAATTTAAATTGAAGCTGTTACATGGTTGACATTCTTTTTTTTTAATGTTCTACTTTTTACTTCTAACAAGCATATGGAGTCACTGTAATATTTTTCCTTAGGAGAAGAGGCTCTATTTACAGCCATTATTGATACTGGGTGTCTATTCTTTTTCTGTTCCTATACCTTCTCTAGTGTACCTTTTAATAATACAGAGACTGCAAAATGAAACTCAGACTCCCTTGTAATTAGGGTAGATGCAGACTAAGGTCCACCAATTACATGCACTAATTAAGATTTGGAGGAAAGAAGGAGGGCAGAGGCCATTTTCTTGATGCTTTTGGGGCTGTTTTCTGCTAGTCAGCAGCCTGAGATAATGTGGGGAATCTTCATAAACAGTGCTCCAGTCCAGTCTCAGTTTTGTAGTTGTAGAGAAGTAGTTTGGGCAGTGCCAGTAGGAGCTTTCTTATCCTTGGATTCTCATGAGGGTGGTGGATTCTCGAATTCAACGGCTCCACTGACAGCCTTCTGATTTCTCTCCTTCGTGGTTGAAGCAGAGGTAGCAACTGCCCCGGTGGGTCAGTTCTGCAGTGTCCTGGGAAATATTCTTGGAGATCCAGCCTAAACCTTGTTCTTCTTTTTGTGCATGAACAAAATCCCTGTGTTAAATCATTTTCTGCTTGAAATAGCTACAGCAGTTTCTGTTTCCTGCCCTGAACCCTGACACCCAGGCCTACTGTGGTCTCTTCCTATAGGAAACACAATGCTAAAATGTCTGTCAAGCCTTTGCCAGAAGGAGCCCTTTGGTGAAGAGGAAGGGGGCAGGTAGCTCCTTACCAGACTGCTGGTGGGAGCACCGCCTGGAGCTTGGTTACCCCTCCATCCACGGGGACCAAGAACTGCACGTTGTTGAGGGCCACGGCTGTTGTCATTGCATCTGTATTGTATTTGTAATCTATGCGCAGGTCGGTGCTTGCTGGTTCACATCGCCAGTTCACTGCCAAGTTCAGAGGCGTGGACTGAATGCCCTGGGCCGACACCTTTCCAAAGACAGAAAAGAGAACATTTAAGGCTTGACCATTAATCTGAAACAAAACCAGAAGCTATGATTATGTCTTATGGGAATATTTGTAGATATCAAAAGATCCTTGTGCCACTCACAGATGAGCAGTCGGTAAAAAAAACGTCACCATGATGGGTGAGTGAGATTTGGATGCTTCAGGTAAAAAGTTATAGATTAAAAACATAAAATCAATGATTAAAATCTCGATAGCACTTTAGAGTTTACAATTCATTTTATGTCACTTAGGCAGATGGTATCACAGTGCTTAGGAGCTGAGGCCAAGAAGGCAGATAGTCCTGGATGTGAGTTCTTTCTTTTTAAAGTTGAAGTGCAGTTGTTTTACAATATTATATAAGTTACAGGTGCACAACATAGTGACTCATGGTTTTAAAAGGTTATACTCCATTTATAGTTACTGTAAAGTATTGGCTATATTCTCCATGTTGTACAATATATCCTTGTATTTTATTTTATGCCTAACAGTTTGCACCTCTTAATCTCCTACCATTGCCCTTCCACTAGTGACCACTGGCTTTTTCTCTATATCTGTGAGTCTACTTCTTTTTTTGTTATATTTACTAGTTGGTTGTATTTTTAAGATTCCACATATAAGTGATACAGTATTTGTCCTTCTCTGTCTGACTTATTTCACTTAGAATAATGTCCTCCAAGTCCATCCATGTTGCTGCAAATAGTGAAATTTCGTTCTTTTTATGGCTGAATACTTTACTATTGTATATATATATAGATATACATATATCCCACATCTTCTTTATCCATTCATCTATTGATGGAACCAGTCTGCTTCTGTACCTCGGCAAATTGTAAATAATGCTGCTATGAACACTGGGGTGTATGTATCTTTTCAAATAAGTGTTTTTGATTTTTCAGTTATATCTTGGTGTGAGTTCTGCTTGTCACTTCCAAGCTGAGTGATCTTGGACCAGTCATTAAAAACCTCTCTGTGCCTCTGTTATTTCCTCATCTGCCAAATGAGAATGATAATAATTTTTAAAAATATTTACTTTTTAACTTTTTTGGCCACACCATGTGGTTTGTAGGATCTTAGTACCCTCATGTGTGCACGCTAAGTTGCTTCAGTCGTGTCTGACTCTGTGCGACCCTATGGACTCTAGCCCGCTAGTCTCCTCTGTCCATGGGATTCTCCAGGCAAGAATACTGGAGTGGGTCACCATGCCCTCCTCCAAAGGATCTTCCCAGCCCAGGGATCAAACCCACATCTCTTACATCTCCTGCATTGGCAGGCTGGTTCTTCACCACTAGTGCTACCTGGGAAGCCCCTGAGTACCCTCACCAGGGATCAAACCCATGCTCCCTGCCCTGGAAGGCTGGAGTCTTAATTACTGGACCACTAGAGAAGTCCTGGGAATAAGAATAATATTTATACCTAGAGATGTTAGGATGATTGAAGAAGGCTGTTTTATATGAAACACTCAGCATAGTGCCTAATATATAATAAGGAATTAACATTTTAATACTGTAACCTATTAATATTCTTATCATATTTGCTCTTCACAAATAGTGAGTTAGACACAGCAAGTTATGATTACTCTTTTGGGATTTGCCATTTTAAGGACTTAAATCCAGGCCTTCTAACTGGCAGTACTGCGTTCTATGGTCTACTGTCAATTCTAGTTAGAAACAACTGTGAATTTGACTAAGGAAGAGTCAGATTTGAAGAAACAGCAAAAAGTTATAAAACAATAATACCAACTTGAATCTTGGATACACAGTGAAAATTTTGCAAGGTTATTATTTCTACCTTTTACAAGTGTATGAGCACCACAGGGGTTGCGTGGGTGGTGTCTGTGCTCTTGAAGTTTTATTCATGGAGTATGAGTTGTGCTGATTTTGAAGACTATAAACAGCTTTTTATTGGCCTAGCAATGCCTGCACATATGGACACCATGGGAAAGGGTCCTGAAGACAGGCTGCACTTACAGAGCTGGTATGGTTGATTTGGAAACAAAACCAGACACGGATCCTTTTATAAAATGAAAGACATGACTTTTGATAACATAATTTTAGTTAGATGATCATTATAATCAAAGTTTTAAAACTTTGCAATAATCTCTATAATAAACCTTATAATAAAATTTCTACACTTTATTTTTAGCAGCCCAGTCCTCTGCAAATGAACTCTTATTTAGAAATCTGTTATTTAAGATGGCTCAAAAGCAGAGTGACTCGCTCTCCCCTGCTATTTCTACACTCTTGTCCTCGGCGGGAGTTCTCAACTTCATAGTAGTTCCTCTGCCCAATGAGGGGCTTTATGGACATGTGATTGTCTCAGTTAATGGGGAGGGTGCTACTGGTAGCCAGAAAGTAAACTTGCTTTGATTTGAGAGTGATTCCACAAAATGCTAATTATGCCTCCCACCCAATCCCTTGCATTGTTGAAAAACAATAACAACAATACAACTAAACCACAACAAAAGGGATTTCTCATTTAAAACAAAATGGCGGACTTAGGGCTACTTACATTTCACAAAATACTCTGAAATATGTTAGGCAGTTAGTTTTCCACAGCTTAAAAAATGCCTTGGTAAGAATAATTTTTATCCTTATTTGCAGATGAGGAAACTGAGGTTTAGGGAGATTAAGTGTCCAAGGTCAGTGGACAGTAGGGAAGCTGACTTAATTCCAGAATTCGGTCTCCTGCCTACATTTTAATACTTTACATCAAGTTCATATTGCAATAGCTGAATTCTGTCTACCTTCTAGGCTTCATCATAATGATGTTTAAAGCTTAGATGATACTATTCTTACTAGAAAAATGTTATACACATTTCTAATTTTGAGAAATGTACCATCACATAGACACTTCATGTTTAATGGTTTCCTTACAACATGTGATTTTCAGCCCATGGGGTGCATTATAACCACTTGGCGGTCTTGCAAAAATATATACACCTTGGTCACATCCTTGTCTAATTCAACGAAACTGAGCCATGCCGTGTGGGGCACCTAAGACAGACAGGTCATGGTGGAGAGGTCTGACAGAATGTGGTCCACTGGAGAAGGAAATAGCAAACCATTTCAGTATTCTTGCCTTGAGAACCCCATGAACAGTATGAAAAAGCAAAGAGATAGGACACTGAAAGATGAACTCCCCAGGTCAATAAGTGCCCAATATGCTACTGGAGATCAGTGGAGAAATTACTCCAAAAAGAATGAAGGGATGGAACCAAAGCAAAAACAACACCCAGTTGTGGATGTGACTGGTGATAGAAGCAAGGTCTGATGCTGTAAAAAGCAATATTGCATAGGAACCTGGAATGTTAGGTCCGTGAATCAAGGCAAATTGGAAGTGGTCAAACAAGTGATGGCAAGAATGAATGTCGACATTCTAGGAATCAGTGAACTAACATGGACTGGAATGGGTGAATTTAATTGAGATAATCATTATATCTACTACTGTGGGCAGTAATCCTCTAGAAGAAATGGAGTAGCCATCACAGTCAACAAAAGAGTCTGAAATGAAGTACTTGGATGCAATCTCAAAAACAACAAAATGATCTCTGTTCGTTTCCAAGGTAAACCATTCAATATCATGGTAATCCAAGTCTATGCCCCGACGAGTAACGCTGAAGCTGAAGTTGAACGATTCTATGAAGACCTACAAGACCTTTTAGAACTAACACCCAAAAAAGATGTCCTTTTCATTATAGGGGACTGGGATGCAAAAGTAGGAAGTCAAGATATATCTGGGGTAACAGTTTTGGCCTTGGAGTACAGAATGAAACAGGGCAAAGGCTAATAGAGTTTTGCCAAGAGAACACACTGGTCATAGCAAACACCCTCTTTCAACAACACATGAGAAGAATCTACACATGGACATCACCAGATGGTCAATACCGAAATCAGACTGATTATATTCTTTGCAGCCAAAGATGGAGAAGCTCTATACAGTCAGCAAAAACACAACCGGGATCTGACTGTGGCTCAGATCATGAACTCCTTATTGCCAAATTCAGACTGAAATTGAAGAAAGTATGGAAAACCACTAGACCATTCAGGTATGACCTAAATCAAATCACTTATGACTATACAGTGGAAGTGAGAAATAGATTTAAGGGACTAGATCTGATAGACGGAGTGCCTGATGAACTATGGATGGAGGTTCATGACACTGTATACGAGACAGGGGTCAAGACCATCCCCATGGAAAAGAAATGCAAAAAAGCAAAGCAGCTGTCTGAGGAAGCCTTACAAATAGCTGAGAAAAGAAGAGAAGTGAAAAACAAAAGAGAAAAGGAAGGATATACCCATTTGAATGCAGAGTTCCAAAGAATAGCAAGGAGAGATAAGAAAGCCTTCTACAGCAGTCAGTATAAAGAAATAGAGGAAAACAATAGAATGGGAAGGACTAGAGATCTCAAGAAAAATAGAGATACCAAGGGAACATTTCATGCAAAGATAGGTTCAATAAAGGACAGAAATGGTATGGACCTGACAGAAGAAAATATTAAGAAGAGGTGGGAAGAATATACAGAAGAACTGTACAAAAAATATCTTCATGACCCAGTTAATCATGATGGTGTGACCACTCACCCAGAGCCAGACATCCTGGAATGTGAAATCAAGTGGGCCTTAGGAAGCATCACTACAAACAAAGCTAGTGGAGGTGATGGAATTTCAGATGAGCTATTTCAAATTCAAAAAGATGATGCTGTGACAGTGCTGGACTCAATATGTCAGAAAATTTGGAAAACTCAGCAGCGGCCACAGGACTGGAGAAGGTCGGTTTTCATTCCAATCCCAAAGAAAGGCAATGCCAAAGAATGCTCCAACTACTGCACCATTGCATTCATCTCACACGCTAGTAAGGTAATGCTCAAAATTCTCCAAGCTAGGCTTCAGCAGTACATGCACTGTGAACCTCCAGATGTTCAAGCTGGTTTTAGAAAAGGCAGAGGAACCAGAGATCAAATTGCCAACATCTGCTGGATCAAC